AACAACTCTCTTTGATTAACATGACAGACAAGTAGTCCGCACGACGTACATGAGCGGAGCGGAGTGCTGACGGTTGCCTCTGCAACCGTCAAATCCGTCTCTCAAAAAATCCTGACTACGCATGGGGCGGTCGCAAACCTTCGAAGACCTGAAGCACAACTCCATTAACCGAACCCGTTCCTCTACGATGTGTAGCATTTCTAGATCCATCTCTGTGACCGTGATATCTTGCAGACGCGCCATTGTTGTTTTGGAAGATAAACACTCCTGCCGGTGCCGCCGAAGTTCTCACAAGTTCTTGAATAGACCGACTGTGCAGAAGCATAAGAGCAAAACTGGTTTGCGAACAGACCCAAGCGACATTTGATGTGTGCGGATACAGAAGTACATTCTGCACTTAAGGGCGGTGGTGACCTACAGTTATTCGACACAAATGCTTTCAATAGGGTTTGTATTTTCCAAAATTGAGCTCAAACAAACTTTATTGAATGCTTTTCTATTGATGAGAACTCAAAAGGACCAAAATACACTGATATTTATATTAATGGGTAGATAGATATTTATAAATAAAAAAAAAAGGATAAATAACAGCCAATTGATTCCAACAGCATTATATAATGCCTCCCCAGTATGGACACAATTTCAGTTTCATTCATTCATCCATCAATCCATCCAGAAGAATGTGGATTGGTAGATGGATGTTTTCCCTTTCAGCTACATGAGTGATCATCTTCCTACAAAAGCGGCAAAATCAAATTTAGAAATTAGTCTCACATATTGTTGAGAGACAAAGTCTATGTATTGATATCATTGATGGGGACATGTCAGCACCAGTCCTTCAGAAAGTTTAGTCAAATTAGTTCTGAACTTCTGACTGCCTCATCCTGATGCAAAAAATCTTAACTCAAAATCGTCCTTTGAGCAGTTATATTCATGATTAAAGAGATTAAAGTGATTTGGTGATGATTGGATCTATTTTCCAGGTGTTTTTTCTGGATTTGGAAGGAGCTGCAGTTATTTCTGTCTTTTTAAAACACAGACGGAGTCTCTTCAACCTTTCGGTTCATTTTTGGGTGTTTATTTTTTGAGCAGAGCTCGTGAAGCAGTCTAACTCCAGGTGCAGCAGACACCCCAGGTGAACGTTAACCGAAAACACCTGTAAGAATCAGCCCAGCTGTTTTCCACCGCCGCTGTCAGAGGTCTGTTCACAAGGCTCTAAATCTGCACCCAGATGTGAGGCTCTGCAGGGGGGGGGGGGTTGGTTCACGTCTTCCTTAGGAAGATTAATGCCTCTCTCAGCCAATCATACGGCACCAATAGGGATTCCCTGAGAAGTTAGGAGGAAAAAAGGCTAAATAAAAATAGCTCTGGCCCAATGAGTTCGGCCCACAGAGAGATGTATAAATAAATCAGAGAAATAAATAAAAGAGAAGGGAAACACATCCTGAGGGCATCCCCTAATGGCGTAGACAGCTCTGCCTCTCATCCCTCCCTCCCTCCCTCCATCTCCAACTCCAACCAATCATTCACACCATTTAAAGTTATTTGCTTGCAGTACCTCACCCCCCCCACCCCCACCTTTCCTCCTCGCCGACTCGACTCTCCTCACTTTCATTCTCTCGCATTAATGATCTCATTTCTCACTCTCCTTCCCCGAGGCCCAGAATGAGGTTAGCGCCACAGTCTGACCTATAAACACTGCCATGGAAACTGCAGCACGTTTCTGCGAGGCACCTCTTCACCGGGGCGGGAGGGAAGGCTAGGGCTCTCACCTTTATCTTAGCCAGAGGGCTATCACAAAAACTGACTCTTTACTTTCTACACAAATAGCTTCCCTCAGAATACTTTGGCCCTGTGAGCCATCCGTCACTTAAAGCGTCAGCCTCTTGGTGAGAGATCTCTCTAATCCCGTTGTTTTGATCAGAACCAGCTCCAGGAGCACAGAGTTAATTCTATAAAGATCCACCAGCTCAGTTTCCACCTCCACACAGACACTGAGATCCAACTTTTCCTAGGATTTCTTCTCCACTTTATGTTCAAACCTCCCTCTAGTAAACACTGAACTTTTAGGGAAACGCTTTACAGCGTTTTTTTATTTACATTTTTTCCCCAAACTTCTGTACATCAGGTGTAACGTGGTGTTAGCCTCTAAAAAAGGTGTCAAAGCTGACAGAATAACGAAAAAAAGACAATTAGAGAAGAAGAGATGCACCGAGGTAACAGCTGATCAGCACCAGACGATTGAGGCTCCATGAATGCACCATATCCGAGCTCTGCAAGGTGCATTAAGGCGGCACTCTTCAGCGTGACTCAAAGTCAAAAACAGTCAAAAACAGAAACTGTTATTTTCTTCCATTTTTCAAGATAAATCCTGCTGCTCAGTAATGCTGCGAGGGAGAGCCAGACTTCCAACAGAGAACAGGAAGGACAGAATTTTAAAAGGAGCTTTGATTTATACTATTGAGCATTTAGCCTCTGTTACAGAGCAGACTAGATTTAAAAAAGGGGAAAATAAAGGTTAGGAGGGACCAAAAAGATCTGCTGCTGTTAACCCCCAAACCTGAGGTGGGACATAAGCAACATAAAGCCACTTCATCAACATCACTAAGGGGAATCATTTCAGATTCTTAAAGGAAAAGTCCGGTCAAATTCAGAATTTAAACTTCTGAAAGTACTTTAAATATGAAATTCCATCCTGTTCAATAAATGATCAGTGTTTTTAATTAAGAGTAATTCTCATTTGAACGTGCTTTACTGGAGGCGTCCATGTTTGTCAAAGAACACTACTGCCACCTAATGGTTTGTGACGTCACGGTGCGGTATCGGCTGTTGATCAAGTCCCAGTGCTGTATCTGGTGTTTGTCACAACGCGCTATTATCCAAGTCATCCTGAAAACATTATTCTTCCAAATGTTGGCTACATATTACAAATTTTTTCTCTGGCCAGAAGTTCGATGGCAAATCCTCCCTCTTCAAGTTGGCGATCCAATGATAAACCCGTCTGTGGAGGATCAGGAATCAGAAAGGTGGAATAGCTTTTTCTTTCACTTTTACCCAATTTATTAACACATCCAGCTGCCATGCACGTGGGCATTGTCAGTTTAACTATAGCTAGGGTTGGGAATTGATAAGATTTTCCCAATTCCGATTCACTTATCAAATCTGTGAAACAATGAACTTGGTAAGTGCACGGTGACATTCGTCTACATTCGCCTGGGACATTCTATTTCCTCTGGGAAAACAGAAGGCAGTCTCGTCTCGTCACAATCATCCAAAAGACAATGGAGAAGGCATTCGTTTCATGAAAAAACATTGCTGTACAATTTCGGCAAACAAACTAATCTCCCCCTGATTTAAATAAACGAGCGTCACCTCTCCCTCGCTCCATGAAATGCGGAGCAACTTCCCAGCATGTTTAACAACCCCAAAGAGAGGTAGGAAACTGGTTTACTTCCAGATATAGCATATGATTTACAAGGAACCATATTAAGCATAGCCAGTGATATAAAACTAGCTACTTATCACCAGAGTTGCCTTCCATGCTGTCGTAACTTTAGCTTCTGTCCGGAAGCATCAAAAACACGGCATTAGTTAAAATGTATGCCATGTTGTGTGCGCAGGTGTTTCTGCATGTTGGATGCATTTCCTCTTGCGGATGTAATTGCCACTTTGCAATGATTGCAAAGCTCCTTGTTTCCATCTTTCTGTTCCTTAAAATGAAGCCAAACTTTCGAGCGCTTTGACCGTCTTAGTTTTGCTTTTCTAGATTTACGCCTGGTCACGTCATACTTGCTTACTGAATGTCGTATGCGAGACTTGCGTAAAAAACGTGATGTAAGTTGTGCTGCCCAGCGCAAGTCTCTGGTGCTGCTCGGAACTGTTAAGAGAATAGTGAAGCAAGCTGCCAAACGGTGCCATGGAAATGGAACACACGGAACCGGTTCTGAACAAGAACCGGTTTTTGATTTCCATCCCCAACTATAGCTCTGGTGAATTTCAATGGTGAAGTCCTCTGGATGTCTTCAATAATTGTTGTTGATTGCAGATGTGTCTAGTAGTTCCCATTGATTTTGCTTGTAAAGCGGGGAGAATGGCGCTAGGCTTACCGCATCGTGACGTCACTGCCGGAAGATTTCAGGAATGAGGTGCTACTATATTTGGGCAAAATTTGCCACTCCCAGACTCAGTGATCACAAGGAAAATTATTGTTTTTATTTTTTTACTGATTAATGCTAAACTATAATTATAGTATTAGTTTTAGGTATAGATAATGATCCATTGATTATTCCTCGCTAAACTGACTTTTCCTTTAAACTAACTGGTCTACTGACCAACAAACCCAAAGTAAGGCTGTGATGAGGGAGCATTCCAGATGGCTTCATTCCTGCCAGCAGCTAACCGGATCCGGATTCTGCTCGGCTCGCTGCTTATCAAATCATTTTATAATCTCTGATATGAAAATCCACCGAATATTAAAAGCGCTGTTTTGAAGCCGATACCACACATTTTACTTTGGACATCAAGAAGAGCCGACCGCAGCGCTGACATCACTTCTCTGCCTCTGTTAAGCACAATCAATGACCAAACAACGCGTAACAGAACGCCTTCTCTCAAACAAAAACAGAAACCACATGGAAACAGACATCGGCCCAGTTTTATCTATCGGACAGACACAGATATTATTATCAAAACACTCATCTCTACTTCCAACTAAACCAGACTAAACTCACTGTACCTGCTGTTTACCTGCTGACACAATGAGATGATCAGAAACCATCTGGAACCAAATTCCTAAAAATATCTGCCAGTTTTCAAAAGGAGAATAAAGGAGATAAAACCAGACCATTTTTGGCTCTAGGTGGCACCTTTCAGTCTCCATCTCCCAGGATCTGAACACAGAAACCTTCAGACAGCTCTCAGGGTAAACGTCTAGATTTTATACTGAATAAAGCTGCAAGCCAGACTCAAAGAATAGATCCGAGTCGGAGCGAATTTCTCACCGGCAGGCTGGACGGTCGGCCCTGCATGCTGTCTTCCTGGCCACTCTTGTTGGGCTGGTTGGAGGGAGGAGCGCTGGACTGGGAGCTGAAGGAGTCCTGGGAGAGCTCCTGGTGAGAAGAACAGACCACAGGTGAATTTCAGCTTAAAAAGAACAAAGTCTTAAGCCCCATTTACACTCCCCTTTTGAAACCGTGCTAACCAAGATAACTGATGAATGTAAATGGCCGGGAAAACTGAACCGGATCGTGCCAGACACAACCGAACCGCATTAAACTGATACTGATTCATCAGTAGGGCTCGGCACGGTTCAGTTCTGGCTCGGTTCTTAGAGAACAAAGAAAAAGCAGACCCCATCATCTCCTTACAGTCAGCCTACATAATCATGAAATTTCAGCCATTCATAAAAATAGTAGCTTCTCTACCATCCCAGATGATGATTCTCCTTAGCAGTGTGATGAACCTCAACATCTGTGGTCGTTTCCTGCATCTGTAAACCCTGATTAGACAATCGTTTTTTCGTATCCACTTCTCCGCAAACAACGAAATATCACAATTATAACCCAACGCCGCCATGTTGATTTGCTTGTTTCCCTCTAGAGAGCAGTAGTACCGTAGATTGTCACTAGGAGGCGAGGAAACCACGCTGACGTGGCGTGTAAATGGTCGTAAGGAACCAAGCTCGGCACGGTTACCTGATCTAAGCTCGGTCTGAACTCTGTAGGGATCGGTTTTCAGCGGGTAGTGAAAATGGGGCTTTAACCTGGATCTAAGGTGGAAGAATGGCTGGTTTTCTGGTGTGAAGGTTTTACCTGTGGAGGGGGTGGGAACCTCTGAAATGGAGATTGCTGCTGAGGCTGTGATTGCTGCTGCTGCTGGGGTTGCTGCAGGGGTGGAGTCTGGGAGTACGGCGACTGCTGGTTCTGCTGGCCGTGACCCGGGGGCTGCTGGGCCGCAGCGGACGGACCTCCCGGCTGTTGCGGTGGCCCTTGCTGCTGCTGTTGGCTCTGCTGCTGAGGTGTCTGACCCGGTCCGCCCGATTGTTGGTACCCGGGTTGTCCCTGAGGGCCCTGTTGACTCTGGGGACCAGGACCCTGTTGTTGCTGCTGCTGCTGCTGTTGAGGAGGAGAGACGTAAGGTGGCTGTCCTGAATGGGACTGTGGGGGCTGGCTATAGGGGGGCTGTCCTGCAGCGGGTCCATGGGGCCCTTGAGATTGTTGGTATGGGGGCCCTGGCTGCCCATGCTGGCCAGGAGGTTGAGAGGGGTGGCCCTGCTGAGTGTAGGGAGCAGCAGAGCCGCCCTGGGTGGGGCCAGAATATGAGGACTGCTGCTGGCCGGGGTGAGGGGGCGGGCCATGCTGACTGTAGTAGCCCTGGTTCTGTTGGCCGTAGGCTCCTGGACCCTGCTGTCCGTAGGCAGACATCTAGACAGGAAACAGGGGAACCGCTTAAAATCAAATCAACCTTCTGTCATCGGTTAAAGATTACGGGTTTAGGATTTCCCTCAGTGGGTTGGGGGAGTGGCATCATCGTGGTACCAGGGTGTTCTGATCCAAACGGGCTAGTTACTGTATCTCGAAAAGCCCTGAACTGTGAACCACTGGTCTCTTTTGGATCATTTATTTCGTTAAAAACAGACTTTAATTAATCTTTTGCTCCCCTGCAGTTTTAGTCGTTTTAAACAATTTTAATTGTTTTAGGGATCAAAATGCTGAACCAGAAAAGCTGCTTTAAAGACTCAGCAGGAGTCTGAAAAAGTTAAGGTAAGGCTCTAAATTATCTAGAGAATAGTTAGTAATTCTCAACACTACAAGTTAAATCCTTAACTTAGTTACCAGTTTGTTTTAAAAAAGGTAAAACTTTTTACACCAGATATAAACTTTTCTGTCACTACCTGATCTGTACTGGATGTTATGTAAAATGGATTATTTTATTGTATTTTATTATATTTTATTATAAAAAAAAAAACTGAAATGTTAGAACTGTAAATACAGTCATATGTTTATATTACTGTTGTAATGTATTTTTTACTGTTTTCAAGGCTGCACTTTAAAAAATGAAATTGTCTAGAGCTTTTCTTAATGACATTTCTTTTTGTTTACACTGGTGTGAACAAAATGACAAAATAAAATCTGTCTAAGTCTAAACCTTATGAGAAACCAAGAAACTTAAAGTATTTCCAGAGTTTCTTTTTTATTATCAGCAGCATGAAAACAAAACACTTTGATTCAGTGTTTTTACATGCATTTAACATCAGCATTATTATTTAATTCCTCAGTAAGTGAGGAACTTGTACTCTTGTATGTATAAGAATAAAGAAAGAGAGAAGAAAAGTGTCTTTTGTGAGAGGGATGGGGGAGGGGGGTTGTGAACTACTTGAGGATTCAAAGAAAATCGAGGATGGTAATAAAGAGCTGCGGCGCATTTAAAACAACATCAAGTGTCTGTATTGTATCAGAGCGGCGGAGGCTGTTTTCCTCTCTGCAGGGCACTTATCGAGTTCATGGTCAGACACCAGCCAGGCCAGTATGACATAATCACAGCGCACAATGGGCACGAGACCACCGGCGGCGGACGGGGAAGAAAAGCCTCCGCTCCGCGGGATTCCCTGCGTGCGTCTCTCAGTTCAGACGCCGTTCTGGCTGAGAAGTTCAACAAGGGTCTGCTTTCCTGGCTATGTGTCAGTAGCAAGAGCAAACTGGATGTTTACAGTGTTCAATTGGATGGAGGTGCTGCCCACTGTGCCTGACAGCGCAGCAGGAACCGTCTCCATCTTTTGATTTCATGTGTGAAAATAAGAGCCGACGGTGGAAACCTGATTGCTGCTGTATTTTTCATTGGTAGAGGCGATGGTTGCTCACTTTGAGGGGGAGCTGGCGCTCAAACATCCGCTGCTCTTTGCTTTGGAAGCTTTTAAAGGCCTTAAAATGCATCCAAAATCTGTTATAGAAATAACTTTTTATTAACTGATACAGGCTTGCAGTGACTGTATGGATCATGGCTTGCCCAACAGTTTTCAATTCCATTCAGTTTATATCTATAGCGCCAATTCACAACATCTCAGGTCAATTTACAGTTCATCAGAGCATCCAGTCAAATTGATTCAAAGTTTTCTATGGAAAACCAGTTGATTGCATCGACTCTTTGACTCGAAGGCAATCCCTCACACTAAGCATGCTTGTAGCGACAGTGGAGAGGAAAAAGTCCCTTTCAACAGGAAGAAACCTCCATCAGAACCAGGCTCAGTGTCATCTGCCGAGGCCGACTGGGGTTCAGGGAGACAGGTTAGACAGTTTTGGATAATTCCCTGCCATTATGTTGCCTGAACTTTTGTAATCTATGTGCATGTGTGTAATACATGAGAAAATGTAAACCCCTGTTAGCGAGAAGGGGCTTCAAAGATCCAAACATAATCTGAGTAGAGATCACTGTATCATAACAGCCAGATGCTGGTGAAGATTCTCAGTCATCCAGGTCAGTCATTCCGAAAAAGTAAAAAAAAAAATCCAGTGGACTTTGTTTACGAGTTTGAAGACGTTTTGCTTCCGATTCAGGAAGCTTTTCCAATAAAAAAAAAATAACAAATTTGATTTGAAAAAGCTTCTTGGATAGGAAGCGAAACATCTTCAAACATGGAAACAAAGTCCTGTGGATTGTTTCGCAACAGCCAGATCTTTTTTGGTACGAATGGAGCTGGTTTATCTAGCCTATCCACCAGAATACAACCAGCATCTCATTTTCCTTGCAAACATAAACCTTGAGCTTTAACGCCGTTTTTTTTTTCTTACATTAACTTTCTGACTTCAACTAGAAAGAAAGAAAAAAAAAATGCTGCCTATTGTCTTTGCCTCAAGGTTTGCTGATCATTAAATGTTTCAGGCATTGCCGTGCTTCACTACGCCGCCTTTAAAGCAATCCTGCGCTTGTCGCAGCTTTCTTTACTCCGGCTTGCCTTTCCAAACAGGCCGAGTGACCTTGGCGACACATCAAGAATTAGTTGATGATTATTTCAATAATTGATTAATCAGGTTAAATGGTTTAAGCCCTAGTGAAGTTAGTAGAAAAGTAAACAAATCCTTAAAGCGTTAGCAGGCTAAAGGATCAAAGGATAAAGGATAAATAACACAGATCTGTGTTATTTATTGTTAAGCAACAAACAATTTTTGAGCTGAAAAAAAACGTTCCAAACATCATTGGTTGATTCAAATTAAACATACAACCAGCTGCTAGAATAGGATCCTACTTAACCCTTTCAGTTAACCCCTTAAGAGCAGCCCCGCTACCGTGGCCAGCTGATGTTTATTCATTTATAGAAATGGCTAAATCCCAGTCACATGGTGTTTCATCCACATGCCTTCACATGGGTCTTTAAAATATCTAAAACATAATTACTACAAAATTATTCTTTTACAAATACTTTTTGTTTTATAGCTGTGTAAACAAATAAAATAAGATTTTATTTTCCACCTGAAATGTGTGCGGTGGTAGTGCAACAGCAGCTATTCATTTTTAGCCACACCCCCTAATGGCCGCCATCATTGGAAACCAGAGGCTCAAACCTTTCCAAGGAGGGGTGGGAGGTAATTGGGCGACCATTTCAGCTGATGTAACCGGCATGCGTTACATAACCTTGCTCTGTTATTCTTATTTTCTATTGTTATTATTGTGTGTCAATGGTAAATTTCAATGAAACAACGGCTAAATCTGCAGAGCAAAGGCTTGCCTTATGCAGAAGGTCTCTAATAATGTAAATCAGCATATTTATCTGACCAGATTACCTTCTATGAGGGGAAAGAATTCATTTTTGCATAATTTTTGCCATTGTGCCAAAATCCCAAAAGC